AGTTTCTCCGCAGAAACTTGATCAGTCTAATCCAGGTTTTTCTTGTTGTGACATGTTGTACAAATGTCCAGTTTCTTGGGAGCCTCAATGACTTGGTGAGAAATTTCCCTCAGAAAGCTGCTGATCTGGGTTTATCAGTCAGACGTTTTAGGTGAAAGAGATGTTTTCTCAAGATGCTGGGAATAGGACATGTGGTCTCTTTACAAACTATGACTGACCAACTTCCTTCTTTGTGGCATTTTTTTAGGACCTTCAGTAACTTGTTGGACTAGGAGTTCATGTTTAGAGTTCAGATATTACAAATAGAAAAAAACCCTGAAATCTCACCTTGAAGCAGAACAGTTTTGTCCTCATAACATGTCCGTCTTTCTGCAGACGAAAGGAGCAACGGATTGGGAAATGTTCCAGATCGACGGCCGGTTCTTCCTCGCCGTCGCCAACAGTCAGCAGTTCTCCAGCCGGGGCCCGAGTCTCTACAACATCAACTCCACCGTGTACGAGCTGAACATGTTGACTCAGACCTTCATCCACTTCCAGGACATCCCGACTCACAGGTCAGCTTACCTGCTCAAGAGGCGGGATCTCCTGAAAATTAGCCAATCATAAGCAAGTTGCTTTGTCGGGTGGATAACGCCTTAAAAGTGACAAAGGTTGAGATGAACCCACAGAAACACGTCCGCATGCGATAAAAAGTAAAAACACAAGTGCATAGAGGGAAAATGTCTCATGTTTGTGATGTTTTTGGGGCCTCATTTAAATCGTCTGTCATAGAACATTCCATTTTCCTTTAGGATCAGTAAAGTATTTAATTTCACTTAATTGTACCTGCTTAATGCCTACTAACTGACCTGCTGATCAGCAGTATGTTACCTGTTTATTAATGATACCTCATATCTGATCATAACTGGTTGAATGGTCGTGTATTTACCTTTTAACTGAACATTAAATGTTTTGCCCTGTTTATTAGTTTATAAAACGTTAATTATTGTTCATCCTGTGTACATAAAATACAAATACATTAATGTATTTTTGCATGTTTATGATCTTTTCTTAACTTTTTTTTATTTTCAACTTGTTTATCTACATATTATCTGTCTATTACCAGTCATTACTGCTCTTTATGTATTTTTTTAAATCTGTTTATTACTTTCCTCTTGCTGTCTGCAGTAAAATTTAACTGCTGCATCACCGAAGTCGAAACTTTCATTACTCCATAACCTGCTACAGTGATTTTATTTGGAACATTTGGAGTTTTATGTGAACTGATCTTTGATCTTGACAGTGACAGTTTCTATTTATCATTCTGAGCTTTAAAGCACTGACCAGGTTTTAGATTAATATATTTTTAGATCTGAAAAAGTACAAATGTCTTCAATAATTAGTTTCTGGTTAAGCTAAACAGAAGCATGAAGTGGGAAATCATGGCTGTTACTGACTGTTTGTTGTTTTTCTGCTCAGCGCCGTTGACTGGGAGTTCTTTACCATTGGAGACGAGAAGTTCTTGGTTGTGGCCAACTCTCATGATGGCAGCTCGTACTCTCTGAACAGCGTTGTCTACAGGTGCATTTAGTTCATCCATACCTGTTCAGGTGGCTTCTGATCCCATGTGACCGGTGGTGTGTGTGTGTTTCAGGTGGCAGGGCTACGAGGGCTTCATCTCTGTCCACAGCCTGCCCACCTTCGGCTGCAGAGACTGGGAGCATTTCACCACTGACCAGGGCTCCTTCCTGGTCTACTCCAGCGCCACCTCCAGGCTCAGCAAGGTGTTCAGACTGAGGACTTACTGAGGGAACCACTGCTGACAGGATTGCTGACATCACATCCCTGAGGGCGGGGCTTCAGGGATCAGTGCTGCTCTGCTTCCTCATCTCCAAGAACTACAATGAAAATATGAAAAAAAACCAACTTTATTTATATGAGAAGCACTTTGTTAAACACACTACATGAAGCTGTACTGAGCGTTTGATTGGTCCAAAACTGACCCAGAGTTCAGGGCTTTGCTTTGGAGACATTCTGAACGTTCCTCTGCAGCTACAGATGTTAACAGATGAACAGGAACTCTGTCAGAACCAACATGAACTCGGTCACCAGCTCTGGGCATTAACTTCTGAAACATTCACAATGAGAAAGAAACAAGTCATCAATTTTAAAATGGTATAAAATGGGAATCATGCATATTTTCTCTGTAGATCCAAATGTGGGACCAAGGAGAACTTAATGTAAGCTAGCCCAAGATCCTTTAAGAGGTCATAGCACAAAAAAACAGAAACTAACAGACTTTTGAACAGAATAATGCATTAAACAGATGGATTAATCCTCAAATGTTCATTACTTACCCAGATTGCTCAGACTAACACTGTCCGTGACTGCAGAGAAAAATGAAAGCTGTATTTAAAGAACAGTTTATCTACATGCTTATTGATGTAACTACAGAAAATGCTCTCTGGGTAAAACTCTCAGCAAATGAAGCTTAAAAACAAAAAAGACGAAGCTACTGATTGATACAAACTAAAGATGCTGTGAAGACAAATGTGCAGAAACATGATGCACGTTAGGAAATTGGTGTTTGACTGTTAATTAATCTATTTACCCCAAAGCTGCCCAATCCTGTACCAGCTGCAGCTGCGGCCATGTTTTTCAGGGTATTGCTTCTTTGTGTGTTTTTATTATGGCCGATTCATCTAAACAGATTGACTGTATGTTTTAATTGTTCGTCATGTAACATCAAACACAGTTTGTGTTATAAATTGCTCAATGACTGCAGAAACTGCCATTTTTCTGGTTATAAGGTGCCTTTACTGTTCCAGCAGCAGAACTTTACTCTGGCGCCATCTGCTGGTGTCTCTGGGAATTACACAATGATCTACAGACTATAATGGGTGTTTTTAGGTTCATGGGTCATTTTAGGTAATCTTTCTATAAATCATGTTTAATATACACACATATAGATAAAACTTTTCACTTTGGCTGCCCCTTGTTTCAGCCACTGTCTGTGTTTTTGTTTTGCTTTATTTATTGATTCTTGTTTTTGCTGCAGGACAGTAAACTCAACTGATCAGGTTCCAGAAAAGTTAATGTTTTTCATTATTTTCTATGAAATTATGAAATTGTTTAACCAATTTCCTCCTCAGGTCTCTGACAGAGCTACTAAAGAAAAATACATTTTAGTTTATTTCAATGTAAATATTTTTGTAAAACATTTTCTGTTATTTAAATATAAATATTTCAATAAAATACTTTTTAATTGTTATTTTTTTATTTGTGCACGTAAGCAAATTTATCTTGTTTTTATGGAATCTTTCGTTTTATTTATTGCGATATTCTGGCAGCTTTATTATTCAGCTTTCATTTAACATGAGCTTAGTTCAGGTTTTATATTTCTGATTGAGACAGTTTGAAAACTGTTTAATAAAGTTTAAATAGGATTGTTGTCTTTTAATGACCTGCATTTTATATAAGATTGTCTTTCTATAATTGTAGTGGTGATTTTTTCCCAAGCTAAACATCCTAAAAAGTTTCCATTAAGCCTCTACTAAGGCACTGGGGTCAAGTTTCTGTACGCAGCAAAATGAAGGTTCAGTGTCCAAACGTCTTGATGGTTCTGGATTATTTATTTTTCCTATTTTAGTAATTACAGAGTTCAAACTTTTCTTTATTCTTTCTGTTACCTCTTTTGTTCTGGTAAAAACCAGAGGCCCCAAACCCAAAGTGCCTGCTGGTCCTTTCCAGGCCCCTACACTTTTAGAAAGTGGACTGATCCACATACTTCCCTCAGAACAAAAGATAAATAAGTAAAATATAAAACAAATATGGAAGAGGATTGGGGCCTTTAAAAAAAAAAAAAAAAGATGTCTGAGAAAATAAGTCAGAATTTTGACTTTTTTGTTATCTTCATCTTTATCTTTGTCATTGTCAAGAGCATAAGAACAAGTTGCACAAGAACAACAAATTTTTAAAAGTGCCATCAATTAGTGCATATGCTTAAAAAAAAAGTCAGAATTCGGACTTTAATCTCAGAGTTGTGGATTTTAATGTAGATGGGCACCATGAAGGCAGAGATGGAGCACTCTGCTTCACTGACAAAGATGTGAGTTGTTTGGGAGGAACAGGAACACATTGGAGGAAAATGACAAATTAGGCGACTTTTTCCGTCCCTGAGGGTCCCTGGTGAAGATATTTGATTAATGGAAGATCAGAAGGTGATTAAAACAGCTAAAGAGCTAGTCTCTAAAACAGACATGGCTACAGTTTGATGCTAACTTGTTTGTTAGCTGTCAGAATTCAGTCTTTTTTCCCATATTAAACTAACATCATATTAAAAAACCAGTTAACTTTCTTTGTTTTTTCCAGTAGCCCTAATTCTCTTCCGTAAACAAAAGATAAATAGAATCATAGAGTTAGACTTAGACAGTACTTTTTTGATCCCTTGGGAAGACTCCCTCCCGAAATTAAGGTTACCAGCAGCTTACAAAGATCATTAAACTGCAAATAAACTCTGTAAATAATACAAAAAGTATACATTTAAGAATAAACTAACAAAATTCAACTGGATAAAGACTAAATAGCTCCAACAATAATGAGTTTGATTCAAACTACAGTATCTTTTGTTTAATCTCTTAATCTCTCTCTGCCTGCAGTTCTCTCCTCCAGCCGGTAGGCGTTGCTATGGAAACCACAGGCCGTTATTTTGCTTCGGTTTCCGGGTAAAAAAGTCAGGCTCCCGGTTTGAAAGTGAAAATTATTTCCGTTAGGTTAATAAAAAGTGAACTAACGGAGGGAGGGCATCATCAGTGACGGATAATAACTGAACTCCTCATCTTCAGTCCAGGTAGAAACTTTGGTCCGTTACTGGTTCCGGTGTTAGCATGCTAGGCGGCTAACGGGCTGGTTGGTTCTGGTTCTTTTCACTCGCTGATGTTTTTGGTAGTTAAACATTAACTGCTTAAACATTAACAGCTGAGACTATTTTAGTTCCGATGTAAACAGATAGTTGAAGAGTTTGTGTTAACAGATTATAGCTGAGAAGCAACAGCAAATAAACCTGACTCATTATGTCTTTGATTAAATCTTAAAAAACACAATTAAAAACATGTTCACCGAAGTTTAGAGACGCCCATTTTATTAATCATTGTTTTGGAAAACAATAATGTGGAAAATTCTATCAGATAAAGTTTTATGCTGTCAGTTAAACTGATAAAAAAAAAAAACGTTATTTATCTACCGCCTGTTAACAACTGATCATCTAAACTTTAGATGATGAGTAGTTGAGCCTTTAGATTCTAAAGGCTCTTTACTGAGTGAATTAAAGTCAAATCAAAAAAATTACTTAATAGAAAATCAAACAGATTGCATTGAGTTATTGGCTGTGCAGGTTTCACTCCCGGATGAGCAGAAGGCGACAGTGGAGAGAAAAACTCTGGCTGCTGTCACGTTGAAGCCAGAATCAGGCTCAGTGTGAACAGCCGTCTGACTGATGAACAGCAGAGAGATAAAGATCACAGCAGCTCTGATCAGGAACACTAGAGGGACGTAGGTTAGTCGCTGTGTCTGGCTGCCTCGGCTGTGGAGTGGGTCAGTGGGACAGAACCACCTGATCAGAACCAGGCCTAGACTTAAGGCTGGTTTATGCTCAGAAACCAGGTCGTCTGCGTGTGTTGCAGTTAAAGCAGATATGCCCCGCCCCTCTGCAGACACTCAGAATCAGAAATACTTTAATAATCCCAGAGGGAAATTATGCTCCAGTTACAGTTTTATATGATATATACACACATCCAACTATACAATATAATAAAGATAAAAAATAAGAATAAGAAGAGATAAAAATATATACACATATAGCTCTTCTGTATATATATCTGTACGTATATCTATGCATATGTAAAAACTAAATCCAAATAAAGTGAAAATCCAAGTAAAGTGATAAATCCAAGTAAAGTGATACATGGCGTGCAAAAATAGTGCATAAATGTCAATTACGGGGGGAGGGCTGAATCACCTGAGGGAGGCGTTATAGAGGTTGATGACCACAGGTAGGAATGATTTCCTGTGGTGCATCTGGGTAGGAGGAGTCTTCTGCTGAAGGTGCTCTCTAAAATCATAGGTGACCGCAGACAGGAGGCCTCTGATTGGTCAGATCTACATCCGCTCTACTCTATGCGTATTTCCTGTTTAGTACCTTAGCGGCTAGTTTTGTTTGTCTGACCGCCATTGTTGAAAACAACTGAAGATGGACCAGTTAGAAGAGCGAGGTGCGCGAGAACACTGGGACCTTTTTCCAACTGGATCCCCGCTCTTTTTGGCCCTCATGTCCCTCCTTTGTAACACAAACTTGCCCCCACTTCCTCACCGCCTCGGCCGTATCTAGACCCACAGCTAGTTCCTGATTGGCCCTCTGGCGTTGTGGCGTGGAATAAACCTAGCAAAGACCACGCTTCAATATTGGGCATAAATCAAAAAATACCGACAAGCTCACTGCGACACACTGCTGCTGGAGGATAAACAGGCGTTTAGCCTAGACTTAGACAAACTTTATTGTAGTTTTGTTTACACAGATTGTATGCTGAATGGAATGTTATTTATACAGCTTTCTGACAGTAAATAAGCAGCTTAGCAGTGAAAATGAACATTTCCATTTATAAAGTGCAGCAGTGATCAAAATGTAAACAATGATGGAAAGACATGGTTCTAAAGGCATTGATGTGGAAGGTCCAGAGTGCTGCACAAATAGATAAATGAATATGTTGCAAAATGCAGTAGAAACTCTGAGTTCTAACAACAGTCCATGGTGGGGGGGTGAGGGGTCATTGATGATGTCACGGGCTCGGGACACGCAGCGCTGGGATGAAATGTCTTTATTGGAGGGAAGAGGAGCCCCCATGATCCTCTCTGCTGTTCTCACCTTCTTCCAGTCTGAGATGCTGCAGCCTCCACACCACACAGTGAGACAGCTGCTCAGAACGCNAGATTGGTTGAACACAACTTCCAACCTGATTAAAACCAAAAAACATGGAAAAACTTTTATGTTTGAATAAAAATGACTAACAACTTTCATTTTGTTCCTCATTGCCCAATTTGCACAAACACTTTCACTGTCTGCTTGAGTTTATTTCACTAAAATGGCAGAAAAACTGTTCACCTTAAATGATTGTTCTAAGAAATTTTACACTTAAAAAAAATTATAAAAATGTTATTATACACACCAGCCATTAACAATTTCAAAGGATGCTAAAAGGAAAAAAAAAGAACAGTTGCCAAAAAAAAAATCACAGATTTCATTACAAACTGTAGTTCTGCTGTCCACCAGCAGGTGGTGACATGTTCACATGAAGCCTCATGAACTGTGGGGATCATTGAAGCAATTTGGCCAAACAGTTCAATGAGGCTTCATCTCACCGTCACTACTAAACAGAAAGAATGACAGAGAAAATAAAGCTGTGGAGTGGGTCAGTGGGACAGAACCACCTGATCAGAACCAGGCATAGACTTAAGGCTGATTTATGCTCAGAAACCAGGTCAACATGTGTGTCGCAGTTAAAGCAGATATGCCCTGCCCCTTCGCAGACACTCTGCTGCACCTCTCTAAAATTGTAGGTGACCACAAACAGTGCCGCAGACAGGAGGCCTGTGATTGGTCAAATCTACATCCGCTCTACTCTATGCATATTTCCTGTTTGGTTCCTTACCGGCTTGTTTTGTTTGTCTGACCGCCATCGTGGAAAACGAATCGTGAAGTTGGACCAGCTAGCAGAGCGAGGTACGCGAGAACGCTGGGACCCTTTTTCCACCTGGATCCCCGCTCTTTTTCGCCCTCATGTCCCTCCGTTGTGGGACAAACTTGCCCCCACTTCCTAACCACCTCGGCCGTATCTAGACCCACAGCTAGTTCCTCATTGTCCCTCTGGCGTTGTGGCGTGGAATACGCTTTAATATTGGGCATAAATCAAAAATATCGACAAGCTGACTGCGACACACTGCTGCGGGACGATAACCAGACCTTTAGCCTAAACTTAGACAAACTTTATTGTAGCTTTGTTTACACAGAGTGTATGCTGAATGGAATTTTATTTATACAGCTTTCTGACAGTAAATAAGCAGCTTAGCAGTGAAAATGAACATCTCCATTTCTAAAGTGCAGCAGTGATCAAAATGTAAACAATGATGGAGAGACATGGTTCTAAAGGTATTGATGTGGAAGGTTCAGAGCGCTGCACAAATAGATAAATAAATATGTTGCAAAATGCAGTAGAAACTCTGAGTTCTAACAACAGTCTATGGTGGGGGGTGAGGGGTCATTGATGATGTCACGGGCTCGGGACACGCAGCGCTGGGATGGAGGGAAGAGGAGCCCCCATGATCGTCTCTGCTGTTCTCACCTTCTTCCAGTCTGAGGCGCTGCAGCCTCCACAGTGAGACAGCTGCTCAGAACGCTCTCTATGGTGGGGGGCTGTACAGGTTTAGCTCAGCGTAACTAACCTGTGGCTTAGATTGAGACTATGGCAGAAACTTCATCTTTTTACATTTAATGAATGTGATAAAACCGACTATCAATGAAACATTATTATTAGATAGCTGCGGGTCTGCTGTGGCTCATTTAGCAGAAATCGCTGCATCAAATGTTCAGTTTAGCTCCTCCAGACGCCACGCTTGCTTTAATAGCATCAGAATCATGTTTATGGCCAAGTAGGTTTAAAATGATTCTGACTTGGTGTTGGTGATGCAAACAATTAGATATATATACAGAATCTAAAGCTGTATACAACATAAAGCATGCAATATACTATATACAATATATAGTGTAGGAGCCATTTATCCTTTGATGTTTGTTGCCACCAGGGGGCGTATTTATTTTGAGTTCTGAGTGTCTGGTGAGGGGATGGGTTATTTAAGTTCAACCATCAATTCTGTTCAGGTGTTGTTAATAGGCTGAGGCAAACAGTTTTCTACTGTGCTTGTTTGGATGTATGTTGAATTTATGTGGATCTTAAGGGAAACAGTAAGACAATGGACATTGTACTGAAAATAAATGACTTTGTTTTATGTCAAACGGAAGATCGGCATTCTGAAACTTAATTGAGCGCACGTACAACCAATGCCTTTCAACAACCACCACCAGTAGCCTAAAATATAGGATTTAGCTATAGTATATAGCTATATACTATAACCACAGTAGACTGAGAGATGCTACGTTGGTGTAGCTCGTAGGTCCTGAACTGGGAGGCAGTGTCATGGAGGCTCTGGGCCTTGTTGATCAGGCTGGTAGCAGATGGGAAGAAACTTGAGGCGTGAAGTTTTGGTCCTGATGGACCAAAACTTTCCTCTGGCAGGAGGCTGCCAGAGGAAAGTGATTAAAATATATTGTGGCTGAGGCGCCGTGCCAGGGATCAGCCACTGTATTCTCTGCATGCCTCAGAGACCTGGAGGCGTACAGATTCTGGACAGATGATGCGCTGCAGTCGGCCCTTGTCCTTGGCGGTGGCTCCAGCCGCATCATTCAGCTCATCTCCAGTGATTCAGCAAAGTCAGAACACATTAAAGCACGGATCAGTGTTTTTGGAATGAAACTAGGCTGTAAAATAAAATCAACGCCTCCATAAAGCTCATCAGAACAGGAGAGAATAAAGTTCTGCTAAACTGACCTTTAGCTTAATGAACAACAGTGAAGCTAAACCAGCAGACGACTTTGGTCTCTAATTCATCACTGATTGTAAAAACATCACAGCTGACGTTTAGTAAACCGCTTTTGTTCTGCTCCTCCAGATGTTTCCTTTTTAAAAGCAAACATCTGTTTTCATCTGATGATGCAAATTCAAACTTTCTGCTCTCTTGGTCCAGATATGATGCTTCAGGTTTCCTCCCCCGGTTTAAGCCGTGGCTGATCAGCAGGAACCACCAGCTGTGACCCACGGCTCACGTTTTCACTGAGGTCAGTCTAAATAAAGTTTAACTAAAAACTTTTCCATTTTAAAATGTTTTACTTGATAAATCTAATCTTTTAATCTGTAAATAAACTATGACCTATAAAACATGAGTTTATATAATATCTACAGGCCTCTCCTGCTCCTCTTTGTCCCACATTAATGACAATTATTACATTTTACATAGAAATAGATTTATTTCATTAAATCAGCTTCACCTCAAACATCAATTATCGTGACTCAGTTTAAAGAGTCTGATAAGTAGATTAGTTTTATTAGAACAGAGGCAGAAATTACACATAAGGACTCAAAAAGAAAAATGGTTGTGCATGTAGTGACTGATTGTTTTATTTTGTTTATTATTTATTATAAATCAGTTAAGAATAATAATACATTTTCCACTGTTATTTTAATAAATTAAGATACGTTAATCTGTGTCTCTGGAAAAACAATGAAGTTCATCTCTTCAGGATCCTTCTCTGAACAGTGAATCTGAAGAGTTTAAAATGTTTTACTTTTCAAACTCAGAGGAACTCATTGAGCATGGAGTCGGACCTGCTGATTGGCTGGCCGCAGCAGAAGGCGGAGCTGGAGCAGGAGGTGTGCCGTCTGCAGGAGGAGCTGGCGGAGAGCCGAGCAGAGAAGGAGGAGCTGGAGTCCAGGAGCAGAGCTCTGAGGGAGCGGGTGAGGCGGGGGAGCAGAGAGGGGGGTGGGGTTAGTCTGGAAAAGGTTCTTTAAAGCATAAGGAACTGTTTGCCTGCA